AAAAGCCCTCTGTGACCCCCCTCCTTCCCTGCAGGGGGTGCTGCAATCCCCCTGGTGCTGATACTGCTGCTGGTTGCCCTGGTCGGGGTTGCCCTGGTTGTTGCCCTCCTGCTAGTGGCTGCCTGGCGCAAGAGGAAGTGTAAGTAGCTCTACCCTTAACTCTGTAGCCCCGCCTCTTAGAGTATGGCCCCACCCCTAAGTGAATAGGTGGGTGGGACTGGCCAGGGAGGAGACAGAGCTCTAAAAAGGGGAAGGGGCTTCACCCAGAGGGGGCAGGGCTTGACCACAAGAGGGCATGGCTCCATGTAAAGGGGGCTAGCTTCACTGGGGGCGTGGCTGTACCAAAAGGGGTGGAGCTTCACCCCAAGGGGTTGGAGTGTGTGACAAAGGGGTCCCAGTTTCACTTAGGGGGCGGGGCTTTGCCTAAAGGGGGGCGCGGTGTTTACCCAAAGGGCTTCACCCCCAAGTGGGGAGGGGCTCCAAGGCTTGTTTCACCCAGGGGGCGCGGCTTTTCCCAAACGGGGTGGGGAATTCAAAGCGGCATGGTTTCACTCAGAGGTGGGGCTTTGCCTAAAATGGGCATGGCTTTTCTTCAAAGGGGTGCAGCTCCAAAGAGGACCTATTAAACCCAGGAGATGGGGCTTTGCCCACAGGGGGCATGGCTCTTAAAGGAGCATCGCTCCCCTCCCAAAAAGGGGGCATGGCCAGGCTCAGTTCACCCTTGTCTTCCTCCCCTGAAGCAGCGCCCGGTCCAGGGGCAGGACTTGAGTTGGTGGCGGAGGTGGAGCCGGAGCCGGAGCCGGAGCTGGAGGTAGAGCTGCCGGCGGGGCTGCGGGTGCTGCCCCTGCAGGTGCTGCTGGACGACGCAGACACGCTGCAGGCACTGGCCGAGCTGCTGGACCCAGCGGGTGCAGGGGGTACGCGGGCGCTGGCCGGGCGCTACGGGCTGTCAGCAGCCTGGGTCGAACATGCCTACTGGCTGCGCAGCGCCCGCAGCCCCCTGCGTGCTGCCCTGCAGGCTGTGGCCCCCCGCCGCCCCCATGCCACCCTGGGGGGCCTGGCCTGGCGCCTAGCGGCCATGGGGCGGCGCGACGCTCTGCAAGTGCTGGCTGGGCTGGAGGTGCCCCATGCCGAGCCTGGCCCCACCCCCCCCAGCTCCCCAGGGGGCCCCGGGTGTTTGGGCAGGGAGAGCACCCTGGTCGATGTCATGGTGCCGGGAGAACCCAGCCTTCCAGGGGCCCCGGTCTGCTCTCATGGCTTTGCTGGAGGGGG